ATTAGTTCGCAGTTCACTTCATTTCTCTGTATGGGAATGAGCTTTGAGTATACCACAATTATTGTTAATGGGTGAGGTGGTGCATGTCGTCTTAAAAGCGTAGTCAGTTTCTTTCGTAAATTCCTCATTAACTTATTTCTGCAGGTTATTAAGCATATTCGAGGTGGTGCTTCTGTGCTGTGCGGTTTTTAGTGTTCCAATTTTGGTGTTTCTTGCCATTTGATCTATTTATCTGTGTACCTTCTGAAAATCTTGGCTGTTGCTTCCATATTGAAATTCTGCTGTACAAACAGAACTGGCCCATTTGCTTTTAGCCAGGTCAAGGGGCAAGCTCAAAATAACATTGCCGCTGTAAGAAGTTAAGACTTTATTCCATGTCAGATACCTGCGTGTGAGTCACTTACCCTTTTCAGAGAAAAGGCAGTTGGGGCATCTTTTGGCACTCAGTAGAATAACTCTACAATTTGATTTTTGGTGTGCCAGATATATGAAACAGTTATTTTTTTAAATAGAAATATCTATTGAGTATGGTTAAAACTTTGAGTATGATATATAACCCATTATGATTAATGTTGTCATGGGTTTACAGCTTTTGTGGCGTATTATAGGGGTGTGTGACAAAGCACAGTATATGGTACTGTACAAGAAAATTTTTAGGCATTCAAGTATGGCATTTGGAAAGTGAGGCTTGTAAAAAGATGTTTTGAACAGATTTCTCAAATTCATAACTTAGCTTTTCAACAGTAAATAAATTATATTTAGAGATTATGTGAAAATATCCAAATAAGGCAAGAGACGTAGGGATCGGAGCAATCACTGTGAAACTTAGATTCTTTGGGAGCGCTTTCTAAGTTAAATAGCCTTCCTTGTCATATAGAAGTGGAGTTGGGAAAATTCTGGTGAATAACAGAAATATACCTGTCTTGCTGGACTCCCCTTGGCTTTCTCGAATAAACTTCTCCGGCAACGTTGTGAAATGCCAGTTAAACACACGCTGCAAAACTGTCTGGACTAACAGTGTACAACAGCCAGCCATTCAGCAGTCAATTATTTACAATATACAAAGAGGGTTAGTTTCATCAGGGTTCTAACACTTCACGGGAAGTAAGGTAAAGAATAACTAATGTTTTTGTGTTCTCCTTGTATTGGATGGAAAAAATATTAGGGTCATGGATCAAAATCAGAGATATTCTTCAGGGTTGACAGACCTCAATAGAGATGCATGTAATATCTAAAAACAATATGCATCTTCCTCTGAGTAGCTTTAAGGGTTGATCTGCCCATACCAAATTGTTTATGTACTTACTGCTCAGGAGGTTCAGGATAAGTTCTGCACCTCTCTCCAAAATAATGGTTTTTGTATTGGTATTTGGCAACCAGGACTGGTTCATATGAGATCTGCAGTACAATTCTCTCCTGTTTATTTCATGAATTTGGAAGTAATGCTTCTATGAATGAAGCTGATTGAGGAGGCTTCTCTGCACAAGTGAAGAGCACATGTCCTAATCCTAAAGAAGCTCTAGAAGGAAGCGGCTGGTAGTAGTGTCAGCATAGTCTTTCACTGTTGTGTTTCTCCTTTGTCCTGTGCTAACTCCTAGTAATCTGAGAACAGCTGTGCATGGCCCTTGAAATGAGATGTATAAAGGGCTGGGAGCAGAGAGCTGAGAACTGAAGAGCCTGACCTCACGCCCTAGAATTAGCCCACAGTTAGTTTTGACTAGTTTTTACTGTGCTTCTAGGTGGATAAGATCCAGCCAGTGGGACAGAGCATCAAGATGCCAATACATGCAACGTGAAGAAAACGACTCAGTGTGAACCGAATGGATGCGGGGACATAATTACAGTGCACAATCAGTGTGCAACAGTTGGTGTGCCTCAACTCAGTGGCAACTATGGCTCCCCTCTCCTTACGTTGTGGGGTAGAAAGGCTTAGAGGAGCCTACGCTCAGTGTGGTGTAGAGTCACAGGCCCGGAGTACACACCCCCTGAAGTCTGTTGGGAGTATGTATGGGAAAGGGGATAGGCCAAACATATTCGTGTATTTCAACTGTGGTCCATGGGAGAGTTGCAAAGGTTCATTCTGTGTGAGTATTTGTGGTTTGAAAATCTTCAGCTCCTTTGCTGCTCGCAGCAGTTGAACAGATAGTATTTTCAGATATTTTAAAGTGCTAAACTTGGGGTGAGAGGAGGGATCTTTCACTGCAGTAGCTGAGAGAACGGCAATTTTTGCTTGAAGCTGCACTCTTCATGGTTGCTTTCTGTAACTTAACCTTTCCTACTTCTGACTTGAGAACGGACTTTGAAGAAACATGTGAATAGTTCTTTGCTATATGGATCAAAGTATTCCTCAAGAATTTTGATCAGTGGTTCAATCTTACAACAGGAACAAAAGTGTTAAGTCACTGGCGGTTCCATCTCCTGTGAACCAGAGGATGCTGAGGCGAGTCTTCTGCTGGAGTGCAACAAACGGCTTCTGCCTAAAGGTCTTCTCTCTGGAAAAAGTTTCAGCTATTATTGCGATGCTTTGGAGTGCTAAAATAGGAAAGTATTACAAAAAGACCTTTTTCCATTTTCTCTACAGTGGTGAAAGAGAAATACTTAAGAAAAAGGGAAATGTAAGATTACAGACGCTGGGTGAAGCACTAAGAGCAAATATGGGACCAGAAATTCTTTTTAGAATATTCATAATTAATAATTATAAGATGACAGTTTACCTTTTAATGGACTTACGCAAATTTTTGTTAAAAACAAATTTCAGCAGATATCTTCAAATATATATTCGAAATGAAGATAACTGCAGTCTGTGTATTTTTTTGTTTTATAAGGTTATTTTTTGTTGAGCTCTTTTAAAGAATCTAAATAAATAAAAACCTAACAATTGCCTTAAAGTCTTATCTTGACAGTACACTTTCTTAACAAGAACATTGGAATATTTTAGGTTCCCTATTTCTCTTTCAAAGCTGACTTTCTATACTTCGCAAGGGTACAGCCAAGTGAGCAGGATTTTGGTGTATGGAAGTTCGGATTTCATACAACCATATAATTCCCTATTTTTTTAACAAAAGGTTTTCTTGTTGTTCTTACATAGATGATATGTATACAGAGTGGTAGAAGCTGGAACCAGACATTAAGAAATAGATGTTGGAGAAGTGCTGTGTGTATGTTTGTGGTGTGTTTTTTGTTTTTTTGATTCACACGCTTGCTGGTGTAGCTTTTAAATCGTGTTTTGCCATCAGCTTATTTTCAAAAGCATGTTTTGCTTTTGTAAAGCAGCTTCTTTCAGTTACAGGACTCTGTACGTAAATGCATTTGTGGAAGTTCTTTGCAGTTGCATGTGATTTAAAGGACTACCCCGATTCATACCCATTTACATGCCAATTTTGTATGCTTTTGAGGTTTTTGGCAAGTTTTCTGTATGCATTAATTGTAAATTACCAAGGTGGACATTTGTAGCGATACGGTACAGACTTGACCACAATAATCCCCATTTTATACTGACTGTTCAGCTGGCTCGTCACACTGTCTTCAGCTGAGGCATATCTTAGAAGGTTGCTTGGAAACTTTTGGCAAGGTGTCTGGTAGCGTAAATGAAACTTGATATAATTACTAGGAAACATACAAACGTAGTCAGGACTGATGCTTCATTGTTTTTGGATTGGACATGCATAGACAGAGAATATAGGCCCCAGTAAAATGGGAAGCATTGCTACGATGAAAGTAGAAGGGAAGGTGCAGAGCTTTTTTTTTGGCCATGTTATCTTAAAATGGCAGCTGGAGGTCCATCAGAAAATGTCAGTCAGATTGAGATACCAGTTTTGCCAAAAAAAAAAAAAAAAAAAAAAAAAAGAAAAAGACTAGAGTTGTGCGTTTTAACTCCTGTTATCAACAAAAGTGTATCTGAAACCGTGTTTGACAGGGAGCATCTAATATCGGTTAAGTCCAGAAGGATAAAAGGGGGGAGGCTGTGATGCTTAATTTTGACCTTTGAGTTACATCTTAATTGAATAAGAATGTGATGCCTTTTCCAAAGTTGATAGTATTTTGGTTGTCATGGTAGGGAAATATAAAACTATTTCTGTATAGGTTATATGTCTTGTGTTTAGCCCTTTCAGACTAACAGGTTCATTTTCACAAAATGGAAAGAAATACACACTAAATTCTATGGGAGTGTTGCACATCCTCAGAGAATAAATGTATCTGTGCAGATTTTCTCTCTTCTCTTTTTCTCTTAAAAAAAAAAAAAAACTTTTTCAGTATTTAGCTATTATTATTACCTGTTTCTCTTTTCTACATGTTCATGATAGAAAACTTCTGTTCTGAACAATGGTAAATTTTTAAAAGCACATTTTTATAGCAAACTCTAGTTATACTGTCCTTTATAAATATGCAGAATTACATGTTCATGAAGAAATAGAGGAAAATGTCATCTCAAGTTTTAGCTTTTTTAGGAAACTAAAAGGAGGTATTGTATGTAACATCTTCAAAAATAGAGTTCCATAAAACAAGGTGAAAAATGCTAGTATGTCCACTGTAGAAGTTTTTTATTTAGTTAAATGAACTCTATTACCGTAAAAACATTCATCCTAGGGGTTTTGCGTTCCACTTGTTATCCTTTGCTAGTAGATGATAGTATGAAAAATGCATAGTTATTGGACTTTGTGACACAGTTGGGAAAATAAGTTAATATTTCCATCTGATATATATACTTTTAAATTCTGTTGTTCATAAACTGTTCTTCACAGTGAGATTTCTTCCTCAAATTAAAATATACTTGGTGAAAATCTGGTAGCTAATTTGATTTTGGTGGTGGTGGTGGTGTTTTTTCAGAGTTAAATTTCTGTGTTGTATTTTCCTTGAAATCTGTGGAAAATGAGTGTGATCAGTTTGCCCTTATCTCAAAGTAGACTTAAATTTTGAGACACAGTAATAATTTACTTCTGAAAGCATATTTATGATATTATATGCAGCTTACTAACATACACGTGAAATGTCATTTACAGGTGCTGACCTTAAAGAAAGAGCAAAAATGCACTCAAGTGAAGTTAGTTCTTTTGTCTCAAAAGCAAGAGCAACCATTAATGAAATGGGTAAGTAACCTCTCCTTTGAACAATGCATTATCTAACTAACCTGGAAAGGTCAAATCAAAGGAATGACATAAACACGCATGATTAATTCTTGACACATAGTAAGATATCCACCACTATTTATACTGATGAGACAAATACAAATCATTGTGCATTCCTTTTTTTTTTTTTTTTTTTTTTTAAATATGCCTAGTAGGGTTTGACTTTATTTTTTAGAATTCTAGAAAAAGCTAAATTTCATAATTTCATCTGAAGTGGAGGTGATTTATACTACTATTTTCAAGAAGGAAGGATTGTTTTGTGATAGCCAAGTGCTTTGAAATTATTTTTTATTATTATTCTTTTGTTTGGTATAATTAATACAGCCTTGAATATATTTTAGAAACATGTTAAACATCTATTATTGATAGAAAATGTGCCTTGTAAAATTTTGTTGAATCTACATCTGTTTTGTTGTAATAGAACTTGTTAATGGTCTAGGATTTTAATTCTCTTTGATTTATAGTGTTTTTTAAAAATAGTAATTTCTCTGAAAATTTTAGATAAGGAATGCACTGTCAAATCATTATATAGCTATGGCTCTGCAGATCAATTTTAACATAATTGTTTCTTAACATGGCATTGCCAATATGTTTTGTTAAAAGGAGAAGTCAAGTGTACCAACTTTGAAACAATACATTTTATCAATGTGAAACATGTAAGCAACTTATTTTGTCGTTTGATGTTTTGGCATAGTCTGCAGAAAATTTTCAGTGAACCATTGCTTTTTTAAAAACTTAAATAGGTAATCACGCAGGGTTGTTGCATGATATTTACCTTCCTTTAAAGAAAATGTATGTTGGCACAAGTTACTGTGTTACATTATAGTGTTGTGTGCTGCGTATGTATATTTCAGTAGTAAGAAGTTTGGAAGGTGTAGTCTTGCACTGATATCAGCAAACTTCTGCAACCAGTTTAGTCGTTCCTGCTTTATATTGTTGAGAAAAAGAACACATATAAATTCCTATATCCCAGTTTAGGATATTTCTTAACATTGCATTTAACCTGACTGAAATCTGTAGGCTCCATGGAATATGAGATGGAGCAAAAGACTATTCCTTCTTTTTAAATTTACAATGAGTAAGTTAGACTGGAGAAAAAAAATATATACCTCTGAGGAATAAATTTTTTCTGAGAGAATGATTTTGTATGCGTTTCCTTAATAATGTTGTCTAATTCAAACAAAGATACACATCTTTGTTTGGCGGAATGTTATGGATGGAAACTAGTAGGTTATGGCGGGTAAATGACAGACTACTGAAAAATGAGTCTTTAATTGGGAACTTCATGGAGATATTTGAGTTCTTGAATTAATATCTTGTCTTTGAAGTGAAGCAGATCCTCAAGGCTCTTTAAAAAAAAAAAAAAAAAAATCAATCAAATATCCAGAAATGAATAGACCATTAATTTCCTGCAGCAGATACTGTATTTCATGCTGAAGTTAGTTTTCTTATGGGAATGCAAAGCAAGAGGCAACAAGTTGTTCCATTCAGTTACTTTGTAAATTATTATTATTATTATTTTTTGGAGAATTACGTAGCTCTAAGCAATAACTTTTCAGCCTTTCTTGGACCGAAGTTGCTGAGGATAGTTTCTGAGCTACCATTAATGTTTAAATAGAGGTAGTAGGTATTAAGATTTTCCTTTTATCAGAGCTATAAGTACTTGTTCATTTTTGTTTTTAGATGAGAAAATACTTAAAAGCTGAAAAAATATTTGGATATTGCATTGTTCATTGAGTAACTGGAAAAGTATAAGCAGGGATTTGATGCTTTAATTTGCCTAAAAGCTGAAAGACTGTATGGCAAATGTTTGGTTGTCTTCAACTGAATTAACTTTCCTGTGCGATTGTTTAAATGCCGAGTATGTAAGCGAATTTCCAATGTTATCTAGAAGGTTTGCAATGGATCATTACACTAACAGTGAATTACATGAAGTTTAGGAGACCAGAAGTAGTACTGAGGAGTGCTTTCATTCACCTGTCTCCATTCTTTTCCTCAAGAAAGGAGCATGAAGTTGTAAGTGAAATTGCGTATTTGAGAACGTAAATCTGAAATATCTAGATAGGAAAGTTTGTGAGGGGATGTAGTAGCTAGCTAAATGGACAAAGCTATAAGCTGGAAAAGGGAAACAAGACTTTGAACATAGGCTTTGGTAAATGTCTTAACAGCACTCTTGCTTAGTTTGGGTAGAGGACTCTTCTTCTTTGCCAGCTTTCTTAAAATAGAGGGATGGAGGGGGCAATAAAAAGCCAATTACTAAGTAGAAGTCTTTTTCATAGTAACATGGTGTCTGGGTATCTCCTGCTTCACTGTTTTGCCGTTAGTTTGCATGTAAATTGGTTGTTCAGGATTAGCAAAAAATATTGAAACATCGCTTCTAATGTTATTTACTTTTCACACCATGTGTGTTTGGACACTACACAAATAGGTGCATTTAAAAACCTGGAGATGAGATTGATGCATATGGTGTGATGCTGTATGGTGATGCCCTGATGAATAGAAGAGAACATTAAATTTTTTTTTTTTTGTTAGTAAGTCAGAGGTTCTCAGTTCTCCTTTTCTTCTTCTAAAGAAGTGGTCTGGCATTACAAAATGTAACTTCAGTGGAACTAGTGAGACACTGTGTTTGCATTGGATTACTGGCAATGAATCAGTATATTGGAAAAAAAGCAGATCAAGGTATTTTGCCTGCCCAGCAGCAACCAGAATGTTGTGAGATGGTTAAAGAGGGAAAGTAATTCTCTAATGATTATTTGCCACTGCACAGATGCTATACAGCTAGGGAACAGTATTTCCAGTTTCCCACTTTGTTCTTTTCCTATCCATGTTGAACGCTGTAATCTCATTTACAATGTGTTCTACTTTTTGTTTTTCAGAAATAGGTCATGTTTTGATAATTCTGTTTATGTTCAGTTGTCTGACCTAGTAAGGAGATACTTCTTTTTAACAGTGTTTTCAGAAAGAAACATTGTTATCTCTGTAGACAAAATACTTGAAAGGTTACTTACGGCTTGAATAACTGGATGAACTTAGCTTTTTAGAATTGACATATCTTGGCTTTCTTTAGTTCCTGTCAATTTCATGATGTTTAAAATCCTTACGTTAGTGGTTTTCTAAAAGGCTGCAGTATCATTTTGGAATACAGCTACAGAGAGGAATTTTCTGGAAATTAAAAGCATACTGCGCTTGTTTGTTGCAGCATTTTTATGGGATTAATTTATAACTTCTTGCTAAATTTGGGTAAAGTATTAAAACTGCAGTAAATATCACTTAGTATAAAAATAAGCACTTGGAAAAAAGGCTGAAAAAAATTGTACCGAGCTATTAGCTGCAGCTCTAAGAGCTTTAAGTTGAGGGGGGAAAAAAATCAAAGCAGCCTCTATTTTTAGCAGTTACTGCTTTTGCTAAAATTATATCAGAGTTGTGTGGGTTGCCTTTTTTCGTCTCCCCTCCCCTTAAGAGTAGGAATATGAGACTACTTGTCCATTAGTATGTTCTACTTTAAGGCTCTTCGTTACTGATATAAGGCTGCTTTTACACTCAAGAAAGCTCAGAGAAAAACATAGATGGATCTCTTGAAACCATATACAACAAAACAGGCCTTCTGACAAAATGAGGTCAAATGTCACTGACTCCCAGAAGCCCCATTTTTTGACCTCTTGGGGAAAAGTGCCATCATTGTGGGTCAGATCTTCAGCATATATTATATGGTGTAGCTCCCGATTAAATCCATGCTCTTTTGTCTCTTTATAGTAACTGTGAGGTCTGGGCTGTGTTATTACCATCGTATGTTTTCTGCTGCAAAGCAAAGTGAGGCTGGAGAAGGGGCCGAATGCAGTAACCGCTCTTCACCAGGAAAACGACTTGTTTAACACAAGGAAGAAGTGAAACTACAGAAAGAATTTGGCCTAGGCAGATCTTAGTAATTGTTAAAGGTGAGGTTTGACCTGAACCTGTAATATGTAAGAAACACTACTGGTTGCCAGAGCTCTTCCAAGGAACGTAAGAGGCATAATTACTTAAATCCCACTGAAGATTTGAGAGAATGACTTTATCAGGTACTTTTGAAAATCCCAGCTGAAGCATGGGTAAGCTTGGTTTTGTATCTCATTTGGAGGCAAAAGACCTTTCTAGTAGCCTAATGAAACCTAGAGATGAACTGAGCTAAGAAAGGAGAACTTTTTACTAAAATACTAACATTTGCTCAGTGGAAATAACTTGTTTTTTTATTGGACATGTTCCACTCAAACCTTATATTGCTTCACTTATGACATCTGATTAGTTTACAAGCATAAGTTGTGATATGACCTTAAAAAAAGATAATACTTAGTAATTTTGTTTAGACATAGCCTTCACAAGTATGATTATTTTTAACATAACCAGCTTTCAAACTTGGATGTGCCTCCCCTGAATAAAAGCACCTTGCTTTCAGTTACTTGCGTTTTGTTTCCTTAACAGTGATGACTTTTTTTACTGGGGTGAGCTTTTCTTTATATTCAAAATAGCTATAGATCTATATAAAGTATTTTTTTCCCCCCTTCTCCGTAGCAGTTTTTAGCACTCTTCTGTCATTCTGGCTCCTCTCTGTGGTAAACAAACTTTTGATTTACATAAGAGAGTGCCCTTGCTCATCCTTCAAGAAAATAATCTATTTGCTAGAAAGTTCCTTTTCTGAGTATTAAAGGTCCTGCATTCTTAGAAATTCTTAGGTTGTACCAAACAGTATGCTACATGTTTTGTGAAAGCAAGCTGTCAAAACTTGGTCCTAGAGGTTCCAAGAGAGGGATCAGAATTACACGATTTTGACTTGACTTCTTGTCTGCTAATTGCCACCACACTTTCTTTCCTACTTTCAAGGCTTTACCATAAGAAAGATTGTTGAGGTCCAATTCAGTGCCTTATTTTAGTATTTGAGTTTTAGGGGCTTCTGTGGAGCACTACTGACTGTCTTCTCCAGCATA